ACAAGACTTCTGGGAATGTGACACAAGATTAGATGGACGTTCATCCAGAATGCACAGCACTACCTCTGTTGAAAACCAAACATCACGGCAAACCTCCTAAGGTGGAGAGTAGTTGTCTTTTTCAGCCTTTTTTGCTGCCACAGTTTTCTGTGGTTATATTTTACAGCCTGTTCAGGATCAGATTACTTTAAAGTTTAACCACTCTGATCTGCAAAACCTAAGATCTAACAGAGGATGTAGGTTGTTGTTTTTTTTTTCCACATGACCAATTACCCTTAAGTGCTCATCCCTGAACCAATACATTTCACTGCCCTTTGCCCAAATCTTAAATCCAACAAATGTTTAACAGCAGAATGTGCTGCAGTGCATGAAACCCCTCAGGATGCTTCATTTCCCTTTCCCTTCCATCTCTGGTTGTGTACATAGAGTTCAAAGAGACTTGGTTTGTTTCAGTTCAGCTCACATGGTGTTGCTCACCTGATCAGAGCACCAGTACCAGATCCCCCCTATCGTCATGCCGAACACCACGCCAGGCCAGGGAAGGTCCCCCACGGTTGGGTCCCTCAGCAAGCTGAAGGCGTCCTGCCTCGGGGTGTAGCACTGGGAGGAGATGTTATAGCGCTGGGTGTCCAGGGAGGAGAAGTTACTCGGAATGGCAGAGTAGTATTTGGTAAGCAGGGCGCTGTAGCCGCCGATTTCAGCAAAGGCTGAAGATGACAGGTGGGGGAAGAGAATCCCAGAGAAGCCATCTTGGTGTCAGTTTGATTACAGACTTCCTGTGGTTGTTGCTATCTTGCAGTGTCAGGCTGTCCTAACTGAAAGTGTGAATCATCTGCTTAATCAGAACAAACAGTTGATCGCCACTTTGCAAACATTTCTGTGTTTGTCTTCATTCTAAACCAGAATGTATTTTCCACACTATGAACAATGTGTTCACCTTCTTACTTACGGAAACCAGAAAGAACACAGATGAGACCCTGGAACATTTTTACTCACAGAAGCCAGTGAGGACGAAAGCCCCAGCGATGATCACAAACGTCTGAAAAGTGTCTGTGTACATTAGAGCTGCGAGGCCACCTGGGAACAATGAATGATAAAAAATTTTAGAAAATTACAGAGACTTAAAGATGTAGACCAAGGGTCCCCAAACTACGGCCCGCGGGCCGGATCCGGCCCGCCACGTCATTTGGTCCGGCCCCCTGAACAATGCCGGATCCGGCCCGCCTCCTCATACCAGAGAGCATTCAGTGTTCAGTGTTTCATATATTGTAATTTCCGGTTTATATGTGGATTTTTCTTCAACCACCAGGGGGGCTCTTGAGCAATGTGAAACTAACTTTCCCTCAATGGAATATATATACTAGTCAGTCCCAGTCACCGTTTCTCTCCCGGTTTTTTCCATTTGCATTCTGGGTAAAAATCTATTTAAAAGCGTGAATGTGCCCATTGGTATCAGAATGGTAAGAATGGTCAAAACATCTCCAAAGCTCATTATTAAAGAACTGCAGCGAATGGTGGCATCCCTGGGTCGCTACGCTTCCATAACAACCATTGTATGTTATCATACCAACCAGTTATTTGGGAGTGATGAGTAAAATTAATGAATTTCACTATTAAGTATGGTGGTATATTTATAGCACAATCAAGTAGCTATGTTACATTCATATGTCATAAAAAAGCTGCATAGTCCAAACATAACTTTGCAATTTGACGCCTTGAAAGTTGCCTCTGTCTCTTTAAGAAGCTCCTGCTCTTTCCGTCTTCATAATGCTTCAACATTATGCGGTTTACAACCGTTCTTACTGTTAGAGTGCTGGACTAGATAGTAGTTTGTATGATGAGCTCATGTGTGACTCCAACAGGCTGCCACTAGAGATTCAGGGATTCCTCAAACATGCATAAAAGAATCAAAGCAAAACTCCAGTTTTTGTGATAACATTATAATATGAATCAATTTGCAGTGTGGGATAATGTTGCTGAAAGACTTCACACATCTCTTCTAGGGGAAGAATAAATCGAAACCATACTGCTATATTACCTGTGACAGTGTACAAGGCTGTGATTAACAAAAGCGCGATGACAGACACATAAATATTCCAGCCTAACGCCTGCTGGATAAACACAGCTCCAGAAAACATATCCACCTGGAGGGAAGAAACGGATGGATCAGCGTAAGCAGTGCAACATGTGGAGTTTTTACTCACAGGACAACTTGACTCACTGAGATCTTGGTGAAAATGTACAGGAGGAGAGAGATGACGGACAGGTAGAGGCTGATCCTGGCCCCGCCGAACCTCTTCTTCAGGTACTGAGGCATCGTGATCACCTATGGGGGAATTTCAGCCCATCACAGCAGTGAACGGCGGGGTCATTCTGAGCAAATGAGAGCACAGACTGAAAGTCTTACCCCGGCTGTGAGGTAGACGGGTACGAACAGCCAGCCCAGCAGCAACACGATGAACAGAGCCTGATATAATGAAGCACAAAATAATATGTAACCCCAACTCAACTCGGATGATTGTTAGGATTTTATGTGATAGATTAAAACTAAGTAGGGTATCAATAAATGAATGATTCATGACTTTCTATATTTTCTGTAAATAAAAGGTCCCTGTCAATGCTGAACGCAAACAAATCCACACGTACATGCATGATGATGGTTTAAACCAACACAATATATTAGTTTTTTTTTTTTTCACCTTTTCAATGAACAGTTCTGCAATATTTTGTGACGGTAAATCACACAAAATCCCGATAAAAAAAGATTACTCCAAAGAGTTTTATTGACAAAATGTGAAAACATTTCAGAGGTGTGAGGACTTTTATTTAATCTGCATGCTGTGCAACATCAGCATGTTTTCAGCTACGCTTGCTTACGTTCCACTCGAAGCCTCCAACAGCGATGCCCGCCGCTGCCCCGGTTCCTGCCAGGCCCACAAAGTGACCGCTCCCAATATTACTGGCAAACAGGGACGCACCAACCTGCAACACAATCGAACTCAGCACCGCTAGGATTCATGGGAATGCAGTAAGATAAAGGTAGGAATGGAATCTTTTCTTTTGGGAAACTGATTCAGAGATACACTTCAAACAATTCTGTGCTCATAAACAGTGTGAAATACCGCAAATTTTGTTTGTTTTCACAGAACTTATCCTGAACAAAATACAAGGAAGTTTCTGTGGTAAAAAAGAAAGAAAGAAAGAAATTTCACACAAAAAGCAAAAATGGAAATCAGTTTGTGGAACTTGGTAAAAACAACAATTATGAGCATTCATAAAGAAACCTTGAGATGTTCTCCTTTTGACTCACAAAACTGGACATCTTACACTAAAATCATCCCTCAGCACCTCTGTGCTGCAATTCTTCATTATTTTTCTAACAAACCAGCTCATATTACTTTTGATCGAAGGTCCTGTTGCCTCCTAGACTCACCGACCACCAAGCCATGGACCGTCCTGCCAGGAAATATCCTCCCACCGTCCCACGATTGGTCCGTAGCATGGACTGAAGCACACAGAGAGGTCAAGAGTTTTCATGCTTATACCCACTTTATACATTTCTTCCCTAACTTCTTAATTATCAGGCACAAAGTCTGAGAAACTCACCCAAACGCCAACGCCGATGACCATCAGGAAGTATCCAGCGATGACAGCAATGTCGGCGGGATTGTTGATGGTGACTTTTTCTGATGAGGGTTCCGCCATCGCTCCTTTTAGTCAAACCTGAAACTTTTCTCAGTTCTCACAGCATCTGCAGCTTCAAGTGAAGCCTGCTGGGTTTCAGGCACATTGATGTAATGGAAAAGCTGGGTAGGACGGTTCGGGTTGGTCAGTTTAACTGGGAACTTTGATCAGATGGGGTAATATGCAGATTCAGCAGCTTATTTATTAGAGTAATTATTAACAGCAAACCATAAAAAAAAGTCAACAGGCAATCTGTTGTTTTTGGATACTTTTTATAGCTCTCTCAATTTTTTATGTCACATCAGCTCCTTTCTGTTGTCCATTGATAGAAAATAAAGGTGAAAGATGGGCGTTTGTTTTTTTTTTGCTTTGACAGCCATTTTACCAACATTGACCTGCCTCAATGCCCATTTCCTCTTATAGTCATCAAGAGATTCTGTTTGTTTTTACAAAAAGTAGGCTGGTCCTTTAATTGGATAATGCCACTGCTTTTAAACAAAAGCTATCCAGAAGCTGTTTGGATCATAAATACTATGTAGACCAGATGCTTACTAAGAACACAGAGTGCTGGGGAAAAGTTTCCATACCTGTGACCGTGGATGTTATATTTGTTTTATGCTTTTAAAATGCATGACTGCATTTGTCCAACTTCTTGGTGTCTTTGGTATTTGCTGTGTTGTTGCACTTAAATATTTCACAAGGAAAAATATTCAGTAGCTTATCAGAGGAAACAAACTACAGTTTCCAAAGGATGATTTCAAACCCACCTGGTTTGAAAAGAAACGATTGCAGCCCTTGTTAAATCTTAAATCTCGTGTAGGTGCTACTCAGTGTGCTAATCCCAGAGAAAAAACTGTTTATCCACCTTCATCAGTGGTCATGCTATCTAGTTTGGGCACTGGAGCAGTAGTGTAGCAGACAGCAAAGGATGGTGTAAGCAAAGTGTACATGAGCCTGATTGACAGCACTAAGACCCTCCTTCTGGCTCTGATTGGTTATTTCTGACAGTGCATTGCATTTCTTCAAATAGCAATAGAACCACAGGGAGGATGCAGAGGAGCTTGACTTTTCACAAATTATCTGCCTCATTTTATACTGTCAGGACATAGTGACAATGTTAAATATTTTAAATAAATATTTTATACAAAAAATACATACTGCAGCTTTAAAGGATGTTAAACTCATTGCAAGCCCAAATGTAACTGTTTTACATCATACCCACCCAAACTCCACCAATGCAAATATTTATTTACAACCCTCCCTTGAATTGAATGTTGTCTGAATTAACAAAGGGCAAGAAAATGTGCTGAATGTCATATTTTCCTATGAAGTTTATTTGTGTAGCCCTTAACTGCAGTGTCACCGCACATCACAGGCCCAGATAGGACGTAAGATCAGTTTTAAAACATCATAAAACATTTCAGTTTCTAAACAACGCAATGAGAAAAAGAAAATTCACAGCATTATTGATTTTTAAATAGCTTCAAAAATATAACAAGAGCAAAAAGCCAAAAATGTCACATTTTCTTCTTTGAAAGGAATTTATTTCCTTTGATAATTGGTGAACTAGGAAACATTCAGGTGCCCAACTCTCCTCTTTGACTATCAGAGATAATCCCTTTTACAGGATCTAATCTGTTATAGGCCTGCATGGTGGCTGCACACATGTAGAAAAGTAGATATTCTGCTTTAAATTAATTAAAACAACAACATTGCATGAGATCATTAAGCAGCCAAAGAAAGGCTGCCTCTGCCGGGGTTTTCTGTCGAGTTAGTCGTTGGGCTTCTTGCAGTTTTCTTTGGCTAGTCTCAGTCTAGACAGGATGTGCTTTTTGGGGAATTTAAGAGTGGTACACCCGAACTGGCTGACCCCTCCAGTCTCTCCGGGAAGTTTTTCCCGCCTCTGCACCCAGCTGCGCCAGCCAGGCTTCCAGCAGTACACGCTGTCGTAGAAACGGGAGCCGTTTTCTCCGCCCAGCACGTAAATCCTCCTCTTCCACCGAGCGACGCCCCCTGCGGCTATCCGCCGCGGCAAACCGGGGAAGACGACAGGACTCGGAGCCCGGTCACTTCCACCGCAGGCGACCCCCCGTTGCTCTGCGCTGACCATCACCCCTCCCCCTGTCACCTCCCTTTCCACCCCTGTCCCCCTCCCCTCTCTGAAGAACAGGACGCGACCCGTTGCATCTAAAGTCTCCAGGTTGGTGTAATTCCCATCCAGGAACTTGGTGGTATCCCTCATGTATCCTCCGATGGCGCAGACCCCTCCTCTCACCGCCACGCCTCCAGCGAGGCATGTGGTGCCGGAGTCCAGCGCTACCCGTGTCCAGCAGTCGGTCAAGGTGTGATAAATGAGCACACCTGAGTGCACCACCGCCCTGTTCTGTTCAAGCGTGGTCCCGCCCAGGAGGTAGAGGCGTCCACGCAGAGCCGCGCAGGCAAACGCTCGCAGAGGGAGTGGGAGTCGCGGCCCGGGACCCCACTGCAGTGAAGTCAGGTCCAGCGCTTCACTGGAGTCCAGCAGGGCGGAGCGGTTACAGCCGCCCAAGGCGTAGAGCGACTCGCCGCAGCCCAGTAGGCCCAGCATGGCTCGGGGTTGGCCCATCGCAGGCCTTTCTATCCATCTGTCCAACACGGCGTCATACTCGTGCACGGCGGCAGAGACGGAGCCAGTCCGGAGGATCCCCCCGGCTACAAACAACCTGTCCCCCACCGCCGTGCACCCCGGGCTCACCAGAGAACACAGCGCCGCTAACTTCTCCCACTTCCCTGTCCGAGGGTCAAAGCAGTCCACAGTGTACTCCTTCAGAGCCAAGTTCTCATCTTCCCGAGGTGTCAGATCCACGCAGACGATCTTTTTCTCAAACATGCCTTCCCTTGGTCTCAGAGGGCCCCCCAGACCCTCTCCAGCGGCAGCGGGCCCCAGCTCCTGGCTCAGCCGTCGGGTCTCCTCCTGGGACAGCAGTCCCGGGCGCAGGTGGTGCAGCAGCGCCGGCATGTGGGCGTAGCGATCCAAAGGCTGGTGCTCCGCCCAGCGCCGAGCCGCGTCGTAAACCTCGGCTTCGGAGTCCACTCCAAGGCGGTCAGAGCTCAGCAGGCTGCCCAGGGTGCCGTGGTCGAGCAGCAGGAAGTCCTTCTGCCGCGCCACCCGGGGGAAGTGCTGCGCAACCAGTCGCAGGGAGGCACGCAGCAGCAGCTGGTCGTGATGCGAGCGAGCCAGCGAGTACATGCCGAGGCAGTTCTCCACTGAGAGGTGCTCAAACAGAAACCTGGAGAGATTAAAAGGAGGATGGTGAAACCTCTGGATGACACCAACACACAATGACTTCAGCCTTCGATGGATTTTTTTTTTTTTTTACATTATTTTTTCCATTGATACCATTCATACATTCATTACGCTCTTAATAATAGTGGAAATGCAAGGCGCACTTATGCAGTCTAAGTTTGTATGGACTCCAATTACACATATATATATATTTGTAAATGAATAAATACATGATTCAAACATTTAGGTCAGACTCAAATGACTGAACAGTTAAGTCCGGTAAGACAAATCAACAATTTTATTTAATCTTATTTGTCAGGGTCACACCTTTTATATTTTACTGGAATTTTAAGTGACCCACCAACAAAACCCCCAATAAAATACAGAAGTGAAATAACTGCAATGGCGTTAAAACTCCGTTTAATTATTATTATTTTATTAAAAGGGGTGGTAGTTTGTATTTTTCAGACACACAGTGACATTTTATAGCACAATCAAGTATATGTTACCTTCAGTTGTTATAAAATGCTGTATATATCAAATATGACTTAAAAGATATTTGACAATTTGAAATGTGGCCTCTGTCTCTTTAAGAAGCCTCTGCTCTTTCTGACACTCCGATTCAGCTAGTTATCACAAAAATGCTTCTAATTTTACCGTTTTCAACTGTTCTTAGGAGCGTTGGACTAACAACTAGTATGTATGATCAACTCGGCAGACTCGCAGTTGCACCAGGTGTTTGTGGAAATAACATATCATTATAGCATGACATAGAGCTAAAAAAAAAAGTCTATTTTACATAATACTGCACCCCTTTCAAAAGCTAAAGCATAAAAACCTGAACCATAGAGGTTCAACCCTACCTGGAGCACAGGTCCTGAAGGGGCATGACCTGAAGCCGGTTGGCAGCCACAAACAAGTCCTCGGCCGTCTCCAGAGAGAGACCGGCCTCACCCGTGTAAACAAACTGGATGACAGTCTCCATGACAGACGGCGTCACTTCCTCCAGACGGATCTCGTTGAGGCGGGACTCCACCAGAGGGCTGGTGAACATTGCCCGGAAGTATGGACTCACAGCTGCTAACAGGACTCTGAGACGCAGAGGGACAGAGGACATGTCCATATTCATCACAAACAATATGCTTTGTTTGGCCTTAGTAATTACTATTTCTTATTACATTAATTAACCCATCAGTTGTGGGTGATTATTATGATTCCTAGGGTATGATAAACCACAAAATTTTAATTATTTCATGCGTTTACATCACAAAAGCAACAATTTTTTCCTACTGTTGCTAAACACAATAAAATATTATTACACTTGATATTTTGTTACTTCAATGATTTTCTAAATTTATATTGTGATTTTAATTCATGTTATTATTCATAATGGAATTGTTGCTATGCATTTTTCTGTTTGTGCCACCTCGCTTTCTGACTGGCTACATTCAGAGAACATCACACATGCTGTGATACCAAGACAACTCAACATGTTGAATATCCCCAATTTGAAGTCAGAGTGGTCCTGATCAAGCGGACTAGATCACTCTTAACACGCCACACACAGAAGCAGCGTCTCCTAAAATTATCTTTAGCACC